AACTTAGTAAAGCCTTCTTTCAGAATGGGGAAGACCAGTCTCACACTGTACTTCCAACACCCGATGGCTGTGTGTGTATGACTGGGGAACCAGTAATTCTAAGACGGCTTATCATTTGTGATGATGTAATACTTAGAACCACCAGCTTCATAAAGTTGCTACACCTGGTATGGAGGGCTTGCTTTCTTTAACTGCCTATCCACCCTGCAATCCAGCATCTGCAAGCTTAGCCTCCAGTATCACTGCCAAGCAATGGTTTCAGTTCTTTCATCCCTTCACCATTTGTCAGGGTCTCCAGATAACCGCCTTATGAACCACACTAAACTGTGTGTTTTGAGTGAAAAATGAATCAACCTGTCAAACTACAATCCACCCCCACACCATGCCCTACGTTTACATTTAAAAACATCTCTGGGTAAGAAATAATGTTGATAGTGGGTTTGTGCTGGCCACAGAAAGGTGCTGAGCAGTTGGAACAGGTTAAAACAGCTGCTCAAAAATCTATCTTTTCCATTTCCATCAGATATTTTCAACAAGGAACTTTAGGGGCACTTGCCTGTTCATAAAACTTAAAGCTCTTTTCCATTACTGTTACTGTGAATTACAAAACTTCCAAGACTTCCTTCTCAGCATTCTTATTCCAACAGTTTTCCTACTGTAATCCAGATGGCCCCAAGCGCACCATCTTCCCACCTCAGCTCCCAGGGCTGCAAGTTCAGGAGTGCACCACCACAGCTGATGTGCCCTGTTTCTTTCCAGTGGCCTCTTGCCGACTTTCCCACACTCAGTTCTTGTTTAGATGTAGCTATTCCCTTGCCTTGACCTGAAGAAATCTTTCTGTTCTCTCTAGATCTGTCACACAAGTTACTATGGAATTACTATGGAATATATTTTCTATTATGGTCTTAACAAGATTTTCCATACACATGTTTTTTGTTGTTGTTGTTTTTCAAGACAGGGTTTCTCTGTGTTGTTTTGGAGGCTGTTCTGGAACTCGCTCTGTAGACCAAGCTGACCTCGAACTCACAGAGATTCGCCTGTCCGTCTCCCGAGTGCTGGGATTAAAGGCGTAAGCCACCAACACCTGGCCACATGTTTTTGTTACTATATAATTTTGATATTTTTCCCAACAAGGAATGATCCATGTCCCCTCCCCTTAAAACCAGGTAGACCAGACTCTGAGAAATCTGATCCTATGGTTAAGCCATCTTGCCTGATCCTCTTCAGGCACTCTCCTAGCCTAGTCTCCGTGCTGTGAGAATCTGAACAGCTAGGAGATGCCTCCTGTAGGTGTAAAACCCCAGTGGAAGTCCAGCCATGATCAATCTTAATGATAAATCTGGTCCCAGTCACTGTCCTACTATAACTGTAGAAGACTCCCAAAAGCTAGTAAGTTGGACCCAATCATATCTTAGAATAATAAAAGATCATGAAATATGGCTGTTTTAAGTTACTAAGTTTTGAGGTGACCCATTACTACGTAACAATAGAAAACAGAATGTCATCTTCTTAGAGTTTTTTTTATTATCCCATCCTAGGAGGAATTAGTTCTTTGGGACAACCTTACCCTTATCAGTAGCTGAACACAGCACCTTTCACAACTGTTATAGACAATGGTAGCCCCAACCTCACCTATGTGGAAACCCTATGGTGGCTTGAGTAAGAATGGTCCCCATTAGCTCATGTATTTGAACACGTGGTCCCCAGTTGGTGAAACAGTTTGGGAAAGATTAGGGGGTGTGGCCTTGTTGAAGAGGTGTATCACTATGGGTGGGGTTTCAAAAGCCCATGCCCTTCTCAGTGCTATCTCTCTGCCTCCTACTTTTGAATAAGGATATAAACTCTCAGCCTCTACTCCAGTATCATGGTTGCCTGCCTGCTGCCATGTTCCCTGTCATGATGGTTATGGACTCATCCTCTGAAACTGTAAGTCCCCAAAAACTCTTCTGTAAGTTGCTTTCATTGTGGTGTCTTGTTATGGCAATAGAGAAGGGACTAAGACAAACCCCAATCACCAGACTTAGGGCCTTAGGGGAAGCAATTAAGGTTAAATGGGTAGCAGAGGTGGCCCCTAATCCAACAGGAATGGTATCCACTACAGGAAGAGACATCACTCTGGACTACAAGTAAAAGTCATGTGAGAACACAATAAGCTAGCCAGCTACAAGGTAACTGGAGCCCCCAGAAATCAGCTTAATCAGCTTCTCTAGAAACTACTCTGGAACCTTGACTTAGGATGATAAGACTTCAGAGCCACCAGAAAGTTCTGTTGTTTTTTAAGCAATTAGTCTGAATTATTCTGTTTTAGCAGCCCAAGTTGTACAATAATGAATCTATCTGCTTCTAACAAAGGCAGCAGAAACTTGGCTTCCTCCATACATACACAGTCAGAACTCAACACACACCTGGCACCGCTCAAACATGATCAAGAATCTGATAAGAGAGTTGGGCAGTGGTGGCACACACCTTTAGATCCAGCACTTAGGAGGCAGAGATAGGTGAATCTCTGAGAGTTCGAGGAAGAGAGTTCCAGGACAGCCTGGGCTATACAGAAAAACCGTGTCTTGAAAAAAAATTAAAAAAAAAAGGAAGAAGAAGAAGAAACAAAATCATAAAAGGAGGACTGGAGAAGGCTCATCAGTTAAGAACAGGCTGCAGGGCTGGAGAGAGGGCTCAGAGGTTAAGAGCACAGACTGCTCTTCCAGAGGTCCTGAGTTCAATTCTCAGCAACCACATGGTAGCTCACAACCATCCCTAAGAGATCTGGTGCCCTCTTCTGGCCTGAAGGCATACATGTAGGCAGAACACTGTAGACATAGTAAATAAATAGATCTTTAAAAAAAACAAAACAAAACAAAAACACACAAGCTGTTCTCCCAGAGAACAGAATTCAATTTCCTACTACCAGTTTGGGTAACTCACAAGCACATATAATTCAGCTCCAGGTGATCCAATCCTGGCCTCCAAGGGGACCTGCACTCATACCCACTCCCACACATATACATTTAAAAAATTAACTCTTAAAGTAAGACTTGGATAAAGAAGGCTAGAGAGGAGTTGGAGAGATGGCTCAGAGGTTAACAGCACTGGCTGCTGCTCTTCCAGAGGTCCTGAGTTCAATTCCCAGCAACCACATGGTGGCTCCCAACCATCTATAATGAGATCTGGCGCCCTCTTCTGGAATGCAGGCAGAACACTGTATATATAATAAATAAATCTTAAAAGAAGGCTAGAGAGATGGTTCACTGGGTAAGAGCAGGATCCTCTTGCAGAAGACCCAGGTTCAAGTCGCAGCTTACAACTGTTCATGATTCCAGTCCCAGGGGATCAGAGGTTCTTGGCTGGCACTGCACAGACAAACTCGCTGACAAAATACTCATACACATAGAAAAAAAGAATCTGATAAAGGGGGTGGGTGAAGAGACTATGGACTTGGAAAGAGGTAAGAAATACACAGTAAAAAAGAGTGCTTGGATACAAAACTAGTTCACATGTGAGTACTTTCAAAGGTTAAGTAATATTGGGAAAATAACATGATTATTTCATTGATTCAGGTCAGCTTTGCTTTACTTCACTTAGCCACAACATCCTCACAAGATAGAAGGGTACCTGACAGGCTTGTTTTTGTAGGGCCTCTTGTGACTGCAACACCAGCACAGGAGTCAGGAGCAGGCATATCTAAGTTTGAGGCCCACTACTGATTTACATAAGTTCCAGACCAGTCAAGGATGCCCTAGTTCAAAAAGAAACAAAAACTCAACAAATTCAACCTAAAGAAAAACATACAAAAAGAAAGAAAGATAAAAAACTTGCTGTTGTATGGCATCTTTGAGATGACAAGAAAACCAAGCCGAACTGGAAGAGGGGGGCTAAGGTTTGTGTAAAAAAAATTCCATTTCTAAGAGTTTTAAAAAGAAAGAGGGAGTGCCCTCTTTCTTATATGGGAGAATCGTACTTATATGGGAGAATCGTAAAAGTATGGACTGTCACTCAGTATGGGGAAGAAAGTAGTTACAAGAAGGGCGTGCTAATCGTGAAGGGCACAGAGAGCTGATAATGAAACCGTAACAAAAAATGCTGACTTTGAAAATGAGCAGTTTTGGTACAGTGATCTTCGGACGAGATGACGTAAAGAAATAAAGTCAACAGCTAGAGACAGAAGGCATTCAGCTTCAAGTTCAGAACAGAAAGAGTGTTGGAATAGGAATCTGACCGCCAGAGAACAGTCCGCCGAGAAGGGCTGGAAGTCGGGACAATGGAGTAACCTCAAAAAATATAGGTGACAGGCAGAGTTAGATTTCTAAGAGGCTAGGTTTTACGCGGAGAAGAAAAGGGCAAGGCCAGCCGAGAGGGAAAATTGTGCGGTGCCCCTGCAGAGATGACGAAAGGCTCGTCTCACACGTCCGACACTTTTGCCAGGAGGGCAACGCGGACACCAGCGCGTCCAGGGCAGACCCCGGGGCGCGCGCACTTCCCGGGGAGGCCCAGAGCCGCAGGCCCCGCAGGCACTCACCCCACAGCCACGCGGCGCCAGCGCCGGGCGGGCTGCACGATGAGGGCATCCCAGGCGGCCGCCAGCCGGCCCTCGGGGGACAGAGGTCCGGGGGACACCGGTCCCAGCCGCAGCGAGCTCCAGAGAGAGCGCAGCGCCGAGCCCGGCAGCTCCGGCTCCAGCAGAAATACGCAGCCCACGGCCAGCGCCAGGAAGCCAGCGCACGCAGAGCCGCGCCACATCGCCTTGCGAACACACCGCCGCACTGGGGGCGACAGGATCCTCTCTCGGCTTGCGCCTCCTCCCAGCTGGGCGCGTGATGACGTGTACGAGTTTGCGTCACACCCGCGCGCCATATGCTCCTCCCCCTACGGGCGGAGCTACTGGTGACCATAGCTGTGGGTGGAACTATGGCTGGAGTGTGGAAGGTGTTCTGGGCGGAGCTATGGGTGGGCTCTGGGCGGGGCTCTGGGCGGAGCGACAACAGCGCGAGCACTGGGGAGTCTGTTTGTTCTCGTCCTGACGCTGGGTGGCACTGTTGTGCGGTCCCGATCTTGGATGAACAAAGACTGAGTGTGGCCCTAATCCCTGCTTCCTGAAACTCACCTGTAGTCCAAGATAGAGTAGGGGAAACACGTTTGCGTCTCTAGTAAAATGAGATACGTAGATAACGAAGCAGGCAAACCTCGCGATTATGTAAAAGTCAGTCGGTTTCCCGGTGACACAAGCTGAGCCTGAAATCTTTTTCGATTTAGAGATCAGATTCAACACTCAGGCCCCTAAAATAGTCCTTTTAGGGGTGCTTTTTCTTTTAACAACCTCAGAATAATCCACAAAGACATGCGATCTTATGTACAATATAGAGGGACTATAGACATCCTGGTTTAATTCTTCTCGGTGATGCTACGGAAATCCAGCCCTGTCTTCCCTTGGTATGATGCCCAGCTCCCTCTCAGCCTCATTGTCTACCCTGGTTTCTTTCTATTTTTCTGTTTTCCAGTTCTGCTAGGCCCTGACCAATTCTCTACTCTGTCATGACTTTTGGACTTGTTAGTGAAAATATATTACCCAAGCTTTGATCTTTGACATTAGTCTTCGTTCTCCTTCAACCCACCCAGCTGACCTGACCATTAAGTCCTTTTCAAAGGAGAACTTCTTGTAAGAAAAGATTGGGATGATTTGGGAAAGGGAAGCCAAGAGGCATATGAGATCTGTGTAATTCCATGAATGCTATTTTTCCTAGAGTTACCTATGCCAACCTGTTCCAGAGAAACTGTTTCTGTAGTGTCCCTCAGCTGCCAAGTTTCCGTGTCACCAGAGGCGACTCACCATCATCTATTTCCAAAACAGCAGATCCATTAACTGGCCAGAGACCGTTTACTGGTTTGTTTATTCACTTACGCGTTTATTAAATAGGGTCTCGTGTAGCCCAGACTGGCCTCAAATGCACTATGTTGCCAAGGATGACTTTGTACTTCTGATCCTCTGCCTCTGCCTCAGTGGACTGTGCTCGGATTATAGATGTGCATCATCATGCCTACTGCTCGGGAAGAACCCAAGGTCTTGTGCCTTCTAGACAAGCACTCAACCAATTAAGCAGCATTTTTAGCCCCTGTTTGTGGAGAACCAGTACCAGGTGTTTATGATTAATTGGGTGATGAACTGGCAAAGTCATGTGGTTGAATGTCGGATGGAGCCCATTAAATAAGTTCTCACGATCACTTTAGAGAGGACCAGAGAGAGCTGAACTGTGAACTAAGCACACAGCCTGGGAGGACTAGGGGAAGACTCCCCAACAATGTGAAGTTCCCTTGGAATGCTACTAAGTTTTCAGCATGTCACACATGATTCTTCTACTTCTTTCCAGCCTAGCAAAAACTTGTTACTTAGTCTCAGAGGCTAAATAGCAGGAGATGGAACAAAGGCAAAGTTTATTTCTCATGTGAAAGTCCAGATGTGGTGTGGGTGCCACTGTAGGCTGTGCCAGCAAGCTAGATCCCATCTGGTAGTTTTTTGGGGCAATCTGGTCCTCTTCTGAATTGGGTCAATGTGGATTTCTATTGGGGAAGACAGGGAGATGAGATTTGACCTCAATTCCAACTGCAAATTAAGAGGTCCAGTGCTCCAGGAGCTGAAGGACAGACACCAGCAACAGTTTATGCAGACTTGTGTGACTTCTGGCCACACCAGTCACAGCAGCCTTGATTTCCTCTCCCACTTTATCGGGACGCAGGAACAGGCACTCTTCTCTCTGGGAACTACAGTCTCTCTTGAAATGCTTTTTTTTTTTTTTTTTTTTTTTTGGTTTTTCGAGACAGGGTTTCTCTGTGGCTTTGGAGGCTGTCCTGGAACTCGCTCAGTAGACCAGGCTGGTCTCCTCGAACTCACAGTGATCCACCTGCCTCTGCCTCCCGAGTGCTGGGATTAAAGGCGTGCGCCACCAACACCCGGCTTTTTTTTTTTTTTTGAAATGCTTTCTTAATGAACGAAAGTCATTTCAGATTATCTGTTTGGCATCTGGAATGTCTGGAATGCTTCGCTAGTCAGTTGTTTCTCCAGAAGTTAGATTTCTAGGGACAATTATACACAACAGCTCCGAGTGAGCAGACAAGGTTCCATTGCCTGAGCTGAGCAAGAGAGAGAGAGAGAGAGAGAGAAGGCTGAGAGAGCCTCATGACTACTCCCCCAACCCAAATTACTTCCAGACATGGCCTTTGCTATTTGTTTTCTCTCCTAGGACCTTAAAATGAGATGGGGGGAGTGTGGGGGGATGACGATTGCATTCCAGAAAATTCCAAGAACAGCACAGGCTCCAGGTGTTCCATTCAAGACTCTGACTTGGAATGTCATAAAGCACATCTAGGATTTAAACAGGAAATAGCAGAGCCTATCAGAACATGAGTGCACATCACCCCCATGATCTGAAAGGTTTTGAGGAGCAAGTTGGCTCCCACCTTGGAGCAGAAACTAAAGTAGGACCAAAAGGTCTCCATGTTGCTGGGCTAATCACCTTTTCCACATCTCAGGGCCTCTGGGTTGTCTTCCAAGCTGCTTTCTGGAAACTATCTCCTGTTAGGTGTTTGTTGGTGCCAGAAACACTGCCAGCCACAGGTCAAAACAGAACTTTAAAGGATAGAGGCATAGTAGGTATGGGAAGCTGGATTGAGAAGCATTCACAGAAGCCCTGAATATAAAGGATATATACATATATGTAGGAGGAAGTCTGTATGCCGCCATTAACCATGTGACTTACTAGAGGCGCATACAGATGAGGTAATAAAAGGGCGGTTTACCACACTGCTAACCACACCCACTTTAGGCATGACTAAAGACGTATACGGCCAGACATAAAGACGTATATGTACGTAGGTCGTGAACTACGTCACTAGCCAGGCCCACTTTTGGGCATGGCTAGGGGGCGTTACGGGGAAGGTATAAAAGACAGCACACAGGAAGTCTCAGTCTCTTTTCCCTGAGTTCGGCTTCCGGTTCGGCAGCGGAAAACTACTTGGCTCATCTGGGTTACTTGTTTGGTATCTTGTGAGTAATTTCTACAATAAATACTTAGTTTTACTTTCAGTAAGTGTGTGTCGCTTATCGTTACAGTGTCATTTGGAGCTACACATATAATATCTCAACTCCAAAGAGAGAAGAGAAGGAAGAAAGGATCTCAAGACCCCAAAGCAAAAGGCCTGTGTCTTGGTCAGTGGGTGCCCTCCTCTCTGTCATGCACTAATAGAGCTCTAGAAAGGCTCAGGAGATGGACTGAGGCAGGGGCATGACCAGAGAATGTCAGCAACAGGCTGTGAGAAGGGCACAAATGTCCCTTGATGGTAACAGGATTCCTTGCACAGACTGGGAGCAGCATCTTCTCATCTCAGGAGGTAGGTGACGAGGCACTGGCCCAAGACTTCTACTTTGGGATGAACTACATTGGATGGAGAAGTGCTGAGCTTGGGAAAGCAAGAGGCTAGAGCTGTTGGGGTTTTTGTCTATTGAGCATCCAGGGGCTTCATAGGACCAATGAAATACAATGAAGCATGGACATCCACACAGTGTTCTCTTGACATCTCAAACGACTACTAGCCAAAACCCTTTCAGCCCACAGGCTCTCCTGCTTGGGTTGTGTTCTGAAAGTGTGGAAGCCAGCCGGCTGGCACCAGAATAGCAGATGTTGCAGGGATATGGTTTGTGCTTCTGTAATACAGTAGTTTGGAAAGAAATTGAAAGCTATCCTAACTCTACTGACTTTTCTTCTTCAGCTTGCAATCTGAGTTTGGCTTTCAGCCCTCACATTGAGTGGCTCACAACTGGCTGGAAATCCACCCTCAGGGGATTCTACACCTTTGGCCTCTCAGAGGACCTGCAGCCACATACCCCTCCACTCCCATGAACATACTCATAATTATATATGAAATCTTCTTAAAAAGAAGTGAGCCAGGCATGGTGGCACACACCAGCACTTGGGAGGCAAAGGCAGGCAGACCTTGATGAGAAAAAAAAGGAGAAAGAAAAAAAAAAAAGAAAGGAAGGAAGGAGAGGAGAAATAAAAAGAGGAAGGGGTAAAGATTACAGAAAGAGGAAAAGGCAGAGGTATAGTAGGTATGGGAAGCTGGATTGAGAAGCATTCACAGAAGCCCTGAAACCTAACTGAGCACTATACAAATGCAAAACCATCACACAGCTCACATGCAAGAGTGAAAACAAGATACTAGGGAATAAGAAAGAAAAAGGGAGACTTACAAGGTGAACTGCTGGTGCAGCTGTGCTGAGGTGGACTATGAAATTCCCAGGTCCCTTCAGCTCTAGCAGTTTCCATGTAGTAGTTATTGCTGGGTTGGTGGAGGAGCCAGTGAGAACAGATGGTCAGGGAGGGCTCCATGCTCCGTGGGGTTCAGTCACTTGGGGGAAGGGAGGCTCTAGGACCTTTCCTGGTGGTTCTCAGGGACCTTGGCAATTTACAGCAGCATCCTCTGATCTGTAGGTCTCTGATTATGAGGAACGGTACTTACCTTGTAGCTGAAGTACTTACCACTCTAGCTGATTTTGTTGATTGAAAAGGGCTTCCAGCTGGGCTGTGATCCTCCCTTTTCTTACCTGCTTCACTGCAGAGATCTCTCCTGGCTTAGTGGGTTTGCTTATAGACCTTGTCTTTTGCAAAGAGCTCACTGTATGTTGTCTTTGCTGTTTACTTTCCTTGAGTTTCAGGATTCTTCTCCACTATCCCACCTAGAAGTCTGTCTTTGCATTTTCTTGCCAGTCATACTGATGAGGGTCATACCCAATGACCTCATTTAACCTTAATTTTTTTTAAAGACCTTATATCGAAAGTGAGTCACATTCTGAGATGCTGGGAGTTAGGATTTTGACTTTTGTGTGTGTACGTGTGTGTTACATGTACATGTGTGTGTAGATGTGCACAACAGTATGTATGTGCATGAAAGTCAGAGAAGGATATTAAATATCTTGCTGTCTGTCACTTTATTCTCTTAAGACAAGGTCTTTCACTGAACATGGAGCTGGACTTGTGGCTAGCAAGCCTTAGCAATCCTCTGGTCTCTGCCCCCTACAGCTCTGAGATGACAGGTGCTTATAACTAAGTCCCGCCTTTTATGTAAGTGCTGAGATCCAAGCCCAGCTCCTCATGCTTGCACAGCAAGTATGTTTACTCATGGAGCCATTTCTCTAACCCCAAGATTTCAACTTCTAAATGTTCTGTTTTGGGAATGGAGAAAATACAGTTTGCGCCATTTTCTCCTTAGTAACTGCTGCGGCTACATTGGCATTTTATTCTATTCTTTGTTAATTCTTACCTACAATATGTTACAAAAATCAGGAGTCAGCCGGGCGTTGGTGGCTCACGCCTTTAATCCCAGCACTCGGGAGGCAGAGGCAGGCGGATCTCTGTGAGTTCGAGACCAGTCTGGACTACCAAGCGAGTTCCAGGACAGCCTCCAAAGCCACAGAGAAACCCTGTCTCGAAAAACAAAAAACAAACAAACAAACAAAAAAATCAGGAGTCTTTCTCCTACGTCCATGTCTTTTACAGTCCTCTCATGGAGTGGTGTGATCTCTCCTGTCCCCCAGTCTAGGCTATGGCAGATGTGATGTTCCAATTCTGAGCCAAAGCCTTCAGCAACATCCTTCCACTCTTTTGAAACTCTGAATTGACACATGATCAAGCCCACTAGTTGTGAAAGACACATGGCCTAGCTACTCCCATCTCCCCAGCTCCCAGCCAGCCAATCCTAAGAAGAGCAAAGTTACCAGCTGATTGATATTAGCCAATACCAAGAATAAGACCATTTGAGACCCAAAGAACAACCCAGCTGAACTTAGCCAAATTACTGACTTACATACTATAAACTAAATAAATGATTACTTTTTTTTGGTTTTTACGAGACAGGGTTTCTCTGTTTTGGAGGTTGTCGGTCTAGCCTGGCCTCGAACTCACAGAGATCCACCTGCCTCTGCCTCCCGAGTGCTGGGATTAAAGGCGTGCGCCACCAACGCCCGGCATGATTACTATTTTTATGCCACTAACTTTTGAAGGTTTTTTTTTTCCTTTTTCCAAATAGGGTTTCTCTGTGTGTGTAGCACTGATTGTCCCAGAGCTTGTTCTGTAGACCAGGCTGGCCTTAAACTCACAGAAATCCACTTGCTTCTGCCTCCTGAGTACTGGGATTAAAGGCGTGTGCCACCACTGCCCGGCTCCATACTTTGTTTTTAAACCCTGAGACAAAAATCAGAGAAGACCAAAGATGGCTGTGGTCACCTCCTTCTATGGCAATGGTTCTTATCTGTAACTCAGACAGGCCATAGTGCTTAAGCTGGGAGTAGCTAATCTCTCAGTGGCCAGTAGTTGGAGTAGGAGTCCACAGAGCTCCTTCAGCAGCTCCTGCAGTAGTGGCTGGGCCTACAGGTTCTCATGTCCTTTCTTCCTAAACTCCCAGAAGGAGCAAGCAAGCAATTCACAAAATCCCCATTTATATTTATACCTGTCCCCACTCCCAGTCAATTAATGCAGCAACTAATCTACTATATCTTCTTCTGAGGGGACATTATAGTTCCTTGAAGTCTATTGCAAACAAGATTAATGAAGTGATTCAGTTCTAAGGTTGAAACTGTAATACAATGTTTTTGTTGTTGTTGTTGTTTGTTTGTTGTTTTGGTTTCTTTTAGTTTTGGCCACTATTTACTGTTTTGAACAATCAAGTTTAGCTTCAATTATAAAAAGTGGATGATAGTTCACTGGAAAATTAGTCTTAACAAAAACATGGTATTTTCACAACAAATACCACATATATTTAGTTAAAGTTATGTTAGCAAGTTACAAATGAGCATGGTTACTGTTTTGAACAATCAAGTTTAGCTTCAATTATAAAAAGTGGATGATAGTTCACTGGAAAATTAGTCTTAACAAAAACATGGTATTTTCACAACAAATACCACATATATTTAGTTAAAGTTATGTTAGCAAGTTACAAATGAGCATGGTGGCACAGGTCTTTAATCCCAGGACTTTGGAGGCAGAGGCAGGTTTTTCTGTGTGTGTGTCTGGTCTACATAGAGAGTTCCAGGCTAGCTTGGGCTACATAGTGAAACCCTGTTTCAGAGAGAGAGAGAGAGAGAGAGAGAGAGAGAGAGAGAGAGAGAGAGAGAGAGAGAGAGAGAGAGAGAGAGAGAGAGAGAAGGGAAGGAGAGAGGGAGGAGTAAAACTCACAATGTGGGCTAGGTTTTTCTGAGAAATGCTATTAAAAAACAGATTCTGTTGCTTGATTTTCACCCAATTCCACTTTGCTAAGTCTCAGAAGGCAGAAGACTAAGAGACAGTTTCAGTACTGTTTTTGTGCCTGGGAGAATCTGGGGGACCTGCTCCAGTGTGACAGTTTGATTTATCACCACAGACTCCATACGATGGCTTTCCATCTTTTAAATAGCCCAGAGATGCCAACCTGGAGGGAAGTGGAGAGATTCTGTTGCCGCCTCACTAGAATCCCGGTTCATGAGCTCTGATTTGCATAGAGTTAGAACAAGAGAGAAACCACATCTTACTGCAAATAGCAACATTTTTGCAACAAAGGCTTGGCACATGTGACGATTACTCAACCCATTACAACACGAGTAGATACATATTGCACTTTAACCCCCAGAATAAATTCCCCCCCCTCCCCCAGGTAAAAGATTGAACCTAAGGACTTGGCCCACGCTAGTCATTCCCCCTGTTATTATCTCTTTTTAAGGAATTTTAATTTATATTTTTAATTTTATATGCATTGGTATTTTGCCATTGGTGTCAGGTCCCCTGGAACTGGAGTTACAGACAGTTGTGAGCATCCATGTGGGAACTGAACCCTGGTCCTCTGGAAGAGCATCCAGTGTTCTTAACTGCTGAGCCATCTCTCCAGCCTCTATTATTATCTTATTTTGATACAGGGTCTCAATTTAGGGTCTCCCAGAATTGTCCAGTCAGTGCTTGAACTTTCATTAATGTTTCAGCCTCTGGAGTAGCTGAGATTCCTGCAGCACCAGGCTTTGTTTTTTGAAGTGTGTTTTAGTCTACAATACAGTCTAGTCGTGCTATAAACCCTGTTAATATCAACACTGAAAACTTTGTTGTCACAACAGCTGTTTCTGTGGCTATCCTGGGATCTGGGAAAAGGAAACGCCTTATTAATGCCCATCCTTTCTAACCCACCTCGTTAGGCCTCTTGGGGTGGGGAAGAAAGCAGTGGGCCTCTTCTGCTTGAAAGCAAGCTCACAACATCATACATGTGCTCACAATATTGCTTAGAAATATAGAAGAGTAGCTGGGTGTTGGTGGCGCACGCCTTTAAATCCCAGCACTTGGGACACAAAGGCAGGAGGATCTCTGTGAGTTTGAGGCCAGCCTCCAAAACAATACAAAGAAACCCTGTCTCAAAAAACAAAAACAAAAACAAAAAAAAGAAATATAGAAGATTGAAAAGAAATTATTTTTATTTTATTTCTGAGACAGGGTCTCACTGTGTCGTCCTGGCTGGTCTAGGATTCACACAGTTCTGTCTGCCTCTGCCTCCCCAGTGCTTGAATTAACCATGCTTGCCACTATGTGCAGTTTACTAAGGAAGTTTTAAATCACCCCTAATACTACTGTTCAGTCTTTTTAGTTCCTATTTTGAAGAGTAAAAAAAAAACTGATTTAACCTATGAATAAAATCATTTTAATGTATACACATGCATGCATATTTACAGAAATGGACTTTTATTTCCTACTCTGATTTAACCTATGAATAAAATCATTTTAATGTGTACACACATGTATATTTACAGAAATGGACTTTTATTTCCTACTCTTTTAGGTGCTTTGGAGCAACCCGGGGCCTGGCACATGGTAGGCAAGTGTTCTACCACCAAGCTACATCCCTGGCCAGATTTTATTATTTATGCTGTATTGTGACCATTTTACCTAGCCAGGGTGAGCATTTTGATATATCACTAAGGCATTTTATTCAATGAGATTGTTCTTGTTGGTGCAGGCTCTTATTTATTTAAAGTACAAGTAGAGGGTTAGACTGTGCTCAAATGTAGGGCTGTTTGTAACAAGAAAAATAAAAGGACCTGGGGACAGATACTGGGGCTCAAGTTGAAGATCAGGGAAGCAAAGCGGCCAGTCACTAGTTCTCATCTCAAGCTCAGGCTGAATGGGCTGATTCTGTCTCCTCGAGCTCTCACCAAGCCTCAGACTGTAACATCTGCTCAGCATGGCTGGAGAATGAATGCCTCATGCTGAATACTGAAGACCCTGCTTTTGTCTTTTATACCTCCCTAGTGCTGGAGTTAAAGTATGTGATCTGTTAGTCTTTTAGACTAGTTCAATCTCTTGTATCCCTGGGTGACCTTGAACTCACGGAGAACCTCTACCTCATGTCATGAGTCCTAGGATTAAAGGTGTATACTACCACCTCCTAGCTTCTGGCTGCTGAGATTAGAGGTGTGTGCCTGTTTTCTGTGGTTTGTGGCTGACTTTGCTTTCTGAATCCTCATGCAAGCTTTAATAAATCATAAACATATATTACCACAGCTGTTGTGCACAATGTCTAAACATTCCTAGAGCAAAATCCTTGTTGAGTTTCTTTTTTCTCTTTTGAAACAGGGTCTTCCTACGTAGCTCTGGCTACTCTGGAACTCACTATGTAGACCAAGCCGGCCTAGAACTCACAAAGCCTGCCTTGTTGAGTTTGTCACACAGAAGGATTTGCTAGTCCCAAGGCTGCATATGCTGCGTCAAATGTTTCTGAATGATGTAGTCAAACCTCCTTTGGAAGTAGGGAAAGGCAACCCCACCTCACACCTCTATCTTTCTGCTCTGCGGAATTCCCAGATCAGGGAAAGGGGGCGCGCTGAGTACAGCACAGCCACACCAGAACTCTAGGACAAGGAGGGCAGGGGTGTGGGCGGGAAATGATAGTCTGGGTGAGGGAAGTTCTTAAGGTCCCATAGTGGTGCATTGGATTGACGCTTTGGGCGACTGTTTCTCCAGTGGGTATGGGATCCCGCAGCAATGAAGTTGCTTGGACTCGGCGTCTCCGGTTGCAAAGAACCTAACTGGTCTTCAGGAATGAAGCCAGCCGCTGCTGTTGTCCGCTGAACCACGGGGCTCCAAGGCCCGGAGCTTCACACAAGTGGGCGGTTCCCCGGGGTTGCCAGCTCGCGAGGCGCGCCTTTTCGCCAGCAGGGGATGCTGCGAGCACACCGCTAGAGCCGCCGCAGCGCTAGGCGAGCCACTCGGCGATCCGACCCACAGCTCTGGACCTTGGGATCTCTTTCACAGAAGAACACACACACACACACACACACACACACACACACACACACACACACACACACACACCCCACACACACACACACCACACACACCACACACACCACACACTCACACAACACATACCACACACACACACACACACACCCCCCACACACACACACCACACACACCACACACACCACACACTCACACAACACATACCACACACACACACACACACACACACAACACACCACACACACCAAGATTACCACCTGGGGCAGCCTTCCTGAAGTCCTCCCAGATCATCCCAGACCTCTGCGTATGAATGGAGGAGCCACTTCTATCTCGGAGAGCACAGGAGACAGCCCAGGAGGAACATTGCTCCATGTACACCCCACGTGGCCCCTTCTGGTCTGGAAACTCCACAGAGCAGGTGTGAGTGCATGTGGAGGTAGGAGGATGGCTTTGGGTGTCATCCTTAGGAATCCAGTCTCTCACTGGCCTAGAGCTCACCATTTAGGCTCGACAGACAGCTGAGTCTTAGGGGTCTTCCTGTCTCTGCCTCCTAGTGCGGGATTTTAGGAGTGCCACCATGCCCAGCATTTTCATGTGGTTTCTGGGGACGGATTCCAAGTCCTGTGTAGAAGACAAGCACTTGAGAGGTAGCACTTAGCTAACCCCTCCTCAGCCCTCCCATCCCCGAGGTATATATGTATGTGTGTTTGCCTTTGTATATGGAGACCAGATGTCGATGCTCGATAGAACTTTATTTTATTTTTAGACAGTGTCTTACTGGGTAGCCTAGGCTAACCTGAAACTCGATGGATAGGCTGGTCACAAAGATCCACCTGCCTCCGCCTCCCCAGTGCTGATTAAAGGCCTGTGCCGCCACACCAGGCCTCACTTTTATTTATTTATTTTTTTTGGTTTTTCGAGACAGGGTTTCTCTGTGGCTTTGGAGGCTGTCCTGGAACTCACTTGGTAGTCCAGGCTGGTCTCGAACTCACAGAGATCCGCCTGCCTCTGCCTCCCGAGTGCTGGGATTAAAGGTGTGCGCCACCAACCAAAACTTTTATTTTTTTGCCACAAGGTTTCTCACTGAACCTGGGGTTCATCTACTCAGCTAGGTCGAGTAGCCAATCAGCTCCAAGGGTTCACCAATGTCTACCCTCCCACTGCTGTAGTTATAGACACTGCTGCTGCCACTGACTTCTGTCTGGGCCCCGGGATTCAAACTCGGGCCTGCTTAGAGTCAGTTTAGCCACTGAATGGTCTCCCTAGTACCCCACAGAAGTGTTTTTTCAAAGAGAAGAAAACATGAATCTTACACAAATGTAAATTAAGAACCTATGTCTGCTGGGTGGTGATGGCTTACATCAGTAATCCCAGCATTTGGGAGGCAGGAGCAGGCAGATCTCTGATCTCTGTAGGTTCAAAGCCTGTCTGGTCTACACAGCAAGTTCCAGACAGCTAGGGTTGTTACACAGAGAAACCCTGTCTCAAAAAACAAACAAACAAACAAACAAAAGAACCTATGTCTAAGATGTTATTTAATTCATGAGTAGGACTGGCAACATAGGCAGAAGACAGTAGGAAAACTAACTTCACAAATGACTGATCAAGTAGATTATGAAATGAATTTCATAACTGATACAAAACTGGCTTCTTCCACAGTTGGGCAGGAATGGGGGTGGGATGATTTCCCTCTTCACTGCACAGCATTTGTTGGTGGTGGGAGGAATGGCCCTGTAGGCCCTGAGATGGTAAGTATAGGAGAGCCATCCCTGATCCCCACCAGCTACAACACTCGGGAGAGCAGACCCTGTACCACCAGGGCAGCACAACAGAGCCAATCCTGTTAGTGCAGGTGTAGTGAGTCAGCCCTGAACTTGTGACCATGGGACAGCTTTCCCATTTCCTATCCGGCGGACTAACCCTACAGCTGCCCAGGCAGCAGACCCAGGGCTATGACTTGGCCTGCCCCAACATGAACCCCCTCTATGATCTGCTGGAGTGTGTGAAGGCACCTGGCTCGCAGGCCCAAACACAGGGTCTCCATAACACAGCGTGGCAGCAGGATGTCCAGGAAGAGTCCTAGTGGAGGCCCAGCATTGAATGTGCAGTGGAGATCAGGGACCTGGAACCAGAACAATGATATCTATCTATCTATCTATCTATCTATCTATCTATCTATCTACCTACCTATCTATCGGTTTTTCAACACAGGGTTTCTCTGTGTAGCTTTTGGAGCCTGTCTTGGAACTCACTCTGTAGACCAGGCTGGCTTCAAACTCACAGTTATCCGCTTACCTCTGCCTCCCAAGTTCTGGGTTAAAGGCGTGCGCCACCACCACCCAGCCCGATGACTCTCTGCAATGAGCACTTACAAACAGAGATATATGGACAAAGGGGTGTATGGCATGACTTGTGTCACACCCCAGCCTCCATGATGAGATTTTTAATTCCTTCCTCTTTTATTTCTCTCATTTTATTTTCTTCCTTTTTTCTCTTGAATTTTGTTTTATGTGGGGGGTGCAGGGGTAGAGGGTTGATTCAAAGGGAAATGGGAATGAATGGAATCAAGATACATGGTGTGAAAAACAGAATAAAAGAAAGAGAAAGGGGGGAGGTGGGATTGACATTTGAGGCATGCATGTTTCTAATTTAAATAAAAACATAAAAAAGAGACTGTATCATAAAACCAAAAAGAAAGAAAGAAAAAGGAATAAAGAAATAAATTGTATTATTTTCAGTTTTCCACAAGTTAGAGTCAAAGAAAATGAAAAATAGCAATATCTATATGCAATCAGGTCACCTGGATGTGCACACTAGGCCAGTACTCCATGGACCACTTCTTAATCCCTATTTCAAAAGTCTGTCCAAATTTTTCCTGGCTGCTTGGACAACAGGTTTGTCATGTGTAAAAATTTCCAAAACAGCTTAATAGCAGTGGGATTCATTTTCTAAATGAACTCGCACAGGAAACCCTTACATCTTAAACAAAAATTTCAACATTGAAATGATTTGTTACTGTAAACTACCTATCACTGTAGAGTGTCGAACGATGCAAAAGACTTTTAAGTGAAAAGCAGTCTGTCTTCATGTCCTCCTTGTTCTCATTCTTTATATCTTCCAGCTTCTTATGTAACTTATGACTGCTTTACATGCCTATGCAAACATACACATGGAAGATGCTGGGTATGTGTGTGTGAGCCAATGCCTGCATGTGTGATTGCCTCAGTGAAAGCCAGAGGAGGATGCTGGGTAGTCTGTTCTTCCCATCTCCACTTTATTCCCCTGAGGCAGGGTCTTTCCTGAACCTGGAGCTAGGCTGGCCTCCTGTCCCATCCCCCACAGTGCCTGGGTTACAGATTCCTGTGCAACCATACCTGCATGAGTGCCAGGGATTCAATTCATGTTCTCACATGAGTAACAAGCACTTTTACCCACTGAGCCAAATCCCCAATCAAAAAAACACACATTTAAGAAACACAATTGCAGTAAAAAACAATCTGTTTTTCTGTATCTATTTTTTTTTCAACTAAAGACTATACTGTGGATGTTTTTCCATATCAAAACATAGAGGGTGCCGGGCAGTGGTGGCTCATGCCTTTATTCCAGTGCAAAGGATCTCTGTGAGTTCTAGACTAAGCCTGGTCTACAAGAGCTAGTTCCAGGACAGGCTCCAAAGCTACACAGAGAAACCCTGTCTCAAAAAACAAAACAAAACAAAAAAGCTATAGAGGTCAACTCTGTGTTTTATTTTATTTTTATTATTTCATTTTGTTTGCAGTCCAAAGCCTTGTACTTACACTCTATCCCTGAACTATATACCTCCAACATTACTTCAGTATTTTGTTTTCTTTCTTTCTTTTTGATCTAGGTGGTGATTCATGGAAGATGTCAACTGGAGGTTAGGGCTATAGGACAATTTACTGCCACTTCTGCCTCCTTTTAGGATAACAACGCTCGGGGGAACATGACTTTTTCTCTAAATTATCAGCCATCTAAGATAGCTGCCGTACCACACACCCATTTCTCAGCCACTGCCCTCCACGTATCTGGACACCGCAGTACTCACGCCTGAAGCCAAGAGTAGCCACTCTGCCTTGTCTGGCCTTGCTTCATCTTTTCTCGCCCACGCCGCCCTGAGACTTGGACCTGCTAGACCTGAACCCAACACCACACCTTATATCTTAGTTACTTTTCTACTATCCTAATAAAACACCATGACCAAAGAAACATCTAAAAGAAAGTGACTGATTCATTTGGGCTTATGGGCTTAGAGGGTTGGAATCCATGGTGCCTCAGCAACAGCAGGGTGACAGGAACAGCTGAGAGCTTACATCTTGATAAGTAGGAGGCGTGTGTGTGTGTGTGTGTGTGTGTGTGTGTGTGTGTGTGTGTGTGTGTAACGGGATAAATAGAAGACCCAGAGATTCATATTGGGGTTCAAGCCTCAAGCTGAAGATCAGAAAAGCAAAGCAGCCCAGCCACTAACTCTTACCTCTACCTCAGCTCAAACCAAAGGGGCGATCCTCACACTGCTCCTGACTTCACTGCTCCTCAGATTCACTCAGACTGCTATGCTCTCTTCAACCTGGCTAGAGACTAACTCTCAGAATGATTTCCTATCCTCAATATGGCTGGAGAACGAATGCCTACCTCAGTATTTTAAGTATTTAATAATGTCTCATGTTTTGTTAGTCACATTCAGGCAATTGTGCTCTATATTCTTTGGCATAAGTAACATAAAACGGGAAAGGCCTATTTTGGCTCCTTGTTTCAGAGGGTTCACTCACTCCACAGTTGCTCAGTCCCATACATTTGGACAGAGTATAGCATTGAGACTGTGTAGAGGGTAGGACCTTAACGGTGGGCAGGAAGCAGGGGTGAGGGGAATATAACATCTAAAGCAAGGCAGCGCCCAGTGACCTACTTCCTCCAACTAGTTTCCAGAACCTCCCAAATGATCACCAGCAGCTGGGGACCAAGCATTCAACACAGGAGCCTATGGAAAACATCTTATAGTCAAACCAAAACTGTGAGGTCATGTTATTTATTTTCTTAGAATTCTATTAATGGGTACTTTTATATTTGTTTGTTTTTTTGGGACAGGGTTTCTCTGTGTAGCTCTGGCTGTCCTGGAACTTGCTCTGTAGACCAGGCTGGCCTTAAACTTACAGAGATTCACTTGCCTCTGCCTCCCAAGTGCTGGGATAAAAGGCGTGCACCACCACCACCCAGCTTAATAGATATTTTTTAATTCTTCTAATTTTATGGTATTATAAACAAATGCTACAATGAACTTCCTTAATTTTTATAATAAAAATTTTAATTTATTTTTTTATGTGTGTGCATGTATATGTGGGCCTGCTTGTCTTTATGTTTATCACATGTGCACATGCCTAAGGATGTCACAAGACAGTGACAGATTCCCTGGAGCTGCAAGTTACAGGTAGTTGTTAGCCATTGCATGCAGATGCTGGGAACCGAACCTGGGTCCTCTGCAAAGCAGCCAGTGCTCCTAACTTCTGAGACCTCTCTAGATCCACAGTTCCATAGTAATAGTAACAGCAACAATAATAACAACTATTGTTTTAGATTTTGTGTATGTATGTATGCATGTATGTATGTATGTATGTATGTATGTATGTATGTGTGTGTATATGTGTGTGAGCCTTCGGGTCATCTAGAAGAGCAGTAGGTATTTTTTTTTCTTTTTTTAAATTTAAATTAGAAACACTCTTATTTTATATATCAATCCCAGTTCCCTCTCCCTCCCATTCTCTCATGTTCCCCATCCTATCCTTCTTCTGCTCCATAGAAAGGGTGAGGCCTTCTATGGAGGATCACCAAAGTCTGTCACATCATTTGGGTCAAGGCCTAGGCCCTCCCCTGTGTATCTATGTCCAGAGAGTATCCCTCTATGGGGAATAGGCTCCCAAAGCCAATTTGTACACTAGGGATAATTACTGGTTCCACTGCCAGAGGCCCCATAGACTGCCCAAGCCCCCCAGCTGACACCTACGTTCAGAGGGCCTGGTTCCATCCAATGCAGGTTCCCCAACTGTCAGTCTGGGATCCATGAGCTCTGCCTTGTTCAAGTCAGCTGTTTCTGTGAGTTTCCCCATCCTGATCTTGACCCCTTTGCTCATCACTCCTCCCTCTTTACAACTGGATTCCAGGAATTCGGCTCAGTGCTTAGCAGTAGGTATTCTTTTTTTTTCCTATTTAAATTTAAATTAGAAACAAGCTTGTTTTATATGCCAATCCCAGTTTCCTCTTCCTCCCCTCCTCCCCTGCCCCCCCCCGCCAACTCCCTATCCTATCCCCTTTCTGCTCCCCAGTGAGGGTAAGGCCTTCCATGGAGGGGGGATCTTCAAAGTCAGTCACATCAATTGGAGCAGGGCCTAGATCCTCCCCCATGTGTCTAGGCTGAGAGAGTATCCCTTTATGTGGAATGGGCTCCCAAAGTCCATTTGTACTCTAGGGATAAATACTGATCCACTGCCAGAGACCCCAAAGATTGCCCAGGTCTCCTAACTGACACCCACGTTCAGGGGGTCTGGGTGGGTCCTATGCTGGTTTCCCAGCTATCAGTCTGGGGTCCATGAGCTCCCCGTTGTTCAGGTCAGCTGTTTCTGTGGGTTTCTCCAGCCTGGTCTTGACCCCTTTATTCATTACAGTAGGAATTCTTAACCACTAATCCTTCTCTCCAGTTCCTAATTTTTTAAAATTCGGAGACAAGGTCTCAAGTAGCCTAGGCTGACCTTGAACTCTCTGTAGCAGAAGATGACCTTAAATTTATGACCCCTCTGTCTTTACCTCTGGAGTTCTGAGATTACAGACAAGCACCACCATGCCTGGTTTTACATGGTTCTGGGCCTGGAACCCAGGGACTTCCCATGTGCTAGGCAATCACTCCACCAACTGAGCTACAGCACCAGCTCTGGCTCCGTTTGATTCTTTTGAGTCAGGGTCTCACTATTGCAACTTACTATCATCCTGCTGTACGTAACCTTCTGGGTGCTGGAATTACAGATGCACTTCACCAAGCCAAGCTTAATCTGTATGTGTGTGTGTGTGTGTGTGTGTGTGTGTGTGTGTGTGTGTGTGTGTGTGTGTCTTGGCAGTGGAGTTCCTGGCCTTAATGGAATGGTAGCTCCATGTAACACTTTAACATAGGCTTCTGAGCTGCCTTCTCCAGAAATTGTAACACTTTTATTTCTGAAAAATGTCCTCTTTTACACCCCACCTGCATTGGGTGGTATCATCTATTAAGTCCTTGCCAATCTGATAGAGAGAAATGATGCCTCATAATTTTAGCACACCCTTCTGCAATTATCTCTAGCAAGTAAGACGTTCTGCTTTGGTGAGAACTCTCTGCAGAAGAGTTCTCGTAGTGTGGTTGGAGGACCCTGGGGCACCACAGACTGGGTTCTCAGATTCTGGGAGGTAGGCTCTCTTAGTGGACACATTTCCTCTGCTTTTTGTCATTGTGGAGCCACATGCTGCCCCAGAGGCTGTCTCATTGCTGGTGAGTTCATGTCTCCCTGCTTCGAGGAACAGATCCCGTCACTCAGGAGAGACCAGGGTTTAAGGAGGCCTGTCACAGGATGCAGGGATGATTCCCTAATGCAGGAAGGCCAGTGCCTGGACCTTCTGTAATCAAGATCACTTCTCGGGAAAGGATGGAGCACGGAGTCCTTCATTGTCACTCATGACCCTGTCCCTCCCAGGGAGCTGCTCCCTTTTCTGCTTGGTCTATTTGTTCCTGGACCCAGAGCAGCCACCCGACCTTACTTTGCCTTTCTTTCAGCTAAAAGGATCATTGCTGCCTAGAGCAGTGGCTCAGATTCCCAAGAAATCAACCACTCTGTGTGACCCAGGAAGAGGAAGCAGACTCCAGTGGGCCCATTTCGAGGGGCCGAACCAACGGCCCAGAGTCTCCACTCCATCCCACATGTCATTTTGGTAAAGTGGCTGACTGGATATTTGGGTCATTGCCCACAGACGGTTTATCTGGAGAAAAAGCAGGAACTCTGGAGGGAGACAGAGCTGGGTTTTAGTTTCAGTTAGATCCCTTACTGACTGTATGTCTGAAGGTCTTGAGAGCTACACAGTGAGTGAGATACTGTCTCAAAAACAAACAAAGGAGAACAGAAATTGAGGAAGACACCTGGCACTGGCCTTTGGCTTTCATACTCGCACCCCACAAAGTAAGATGTCTACTTAGATCACAAGTCACATCTGGACACAAACTACACCATTTCATCTGGCATATCTGCCTCTCTATCTGGAAGAGAACCAAAGTAGACTCTTACTATATATGAAAAGAAAAATCCAGATGGATTAAGGGCTGAAAAATGCAAAAATTGTTAGAAATCTAGCAAGCCAAATACCATACAACACCGACATCTCCCAGAATAGCTAAATGAAAAGGTCATGTGGTGTCAGGTGTTCAGGGGACTGTGGAGCAATGTGGGGGTGTCAGTGGTACAGTCAAGCTGAATCTAAGGCTCTAAGGCAGGATCTAAGGAAACTGAGCATGCACAGTCCCACCGCCCAGAAAGTCCAGTCTTGAGTAAATTGTGTCCCCCTGAAGACTGCATGAAAAAGCTTAGAGCAGCAGTGTTGGGCAAAAGCTCCAAACAGGAAGCAACAATAATGTTCTTCAACCTAAAACAGAGAAAGTATGGTAAGTTTATACAACAGGGGTCTCAGCCATGATGCTGAAGTAAAACAGCTAGCAGGAAGTGAGCACGAAGGGTGTTTAGATAAAGTTTAATTGTAAGCTATGGCGTGCGCATAGGATGCAGGTTCATTGGGATGGGAAGTCCTGGAGGGGATAGGAGGAGGGCTGGGTGCTGGTTAGAGTCTTTCCTCTTCCATCTTCCTTGGTTGTCCCTGAGGCTTGGAGGGAAGGGATATGAGATTCTGTTTCTTGATCTGGGTCCTATTATACTGAATGTATCTATCTCTTAAGGGTTCACCTGTCTGCAAGCACACACATATCTTGTATGTATGTTATAATTCAATGAAATTTTGGCAATACAGGTTGAGCCTCATACAATCTTTTTTGTATGTCTATGTGGTATATATACACGCTCATATGGGTGTGAGCGCCTGTGTATGAAGTTGTGAGTGGAGGCTAGAGGACACTGTTGGGTATCTTTCTCAATTGCTCTCTATTTTTTTTTCTGTGACTGAACACTGAATTCAGCATTTCA